GGAGGAGGAGGAGGAGGGAGTGGGACAGGAAGAGGGTGAAGAGTGATATGGAGGAAGCAGGTGTGAGAGTACCATTGAGCAGGAGGAATAAATGAGTTGAAGCAGGGAGGAGGAAAAGGAGAATGAGGAGACAAATTAGATCAGGTTAACACAGCTGGTGGCAGGGTGGCCCTGGCTCAACCTTGCTGCAGAGATATCCTGCCGCCTGGTCCCACTGTGGCTCCATGAAGCATTTCCACAATTCAGACTCAAAATTTGGCTGGCTTCATATACTTTCACTACATTTTAAAGGGTAAATGTATCAACCAGTACGACATTTTTAAAAAGGTCAGACCAACATTAAACTTTTTGTTCTGAGTCTGAAGAAAAGCCTTCATGTCTATCCAACATCCATTGATCCAGTAACTGAGCTACAGGAAACAAGCCCTAAACCCCGGAGTTAACTCACATGAAGAGAAAGATTGTGTTATCACAGCCTGTAGTTCCTGGGTCTTGAAAAGCCTAAAACACCTAAATGAAATCTGGACTGATACTCGTGTGCAGCTTGTAACACTCAACACTAAAAGAGTACACTGAGCAGATCTCTGCAAGGTGTGTCCTGGCTGCGCTCATTTTGTTTTTACTACCTGTATTCCGGTAAGACCCGCCTCTATTCTGCCTCTGCAAAATACTAGGTAAGCCAATATTTGCCTTATGTTACAATTTAATTTAATTTAATTTAGTAATTTATTTGCGGGATCATTAGTTATCCAAGGTGACTACATGTGTTTATACCTCCAAAAGCCCTGGCTCTGCCCCCGGGTCTCTTCTGCAGAGCTCCCCGGGCTCAAGCAGCTGTCTGTCGGCCAGCAGCACAAAGTGTTTAGTAGTACTTAGTGTTTAAGAGTATTTTCAACCCCTGGGAAATCGCGAATGGGGCAAACTCCACTCATCCATTCATACGTTTATATGCGTGTATGAAGAGAGAGCTATATACGCACTCTCAGATAACTATTCTCTCACCTGACATATACTACATACATATTACACATTTTAAATGAATAGACCTCAAAGTGAAAAGACATGTGAAATTGAAACTACATGCATGAAAACAAAAATGAAAAAATATGTGTAGTGAAAGCAGAACAAATGCATGTGAGAGGCCCAGAACCAACTATGGTTGGCACAGCCCCTAATAAAATACAAAACACATCTACGTTACATTTTAGAATCAACCGTTCATGTGGTCACACTCTAACACTAAGTGCCTAAACTAGAAACGAGGAGGCTCCGACGGTATTAATGTCACCACATCGGAAATTAGAAGTGTTTACAGACACGGTTTAAAAACTGGCATAATCAGGAC